TTGATAAAATGATGAGTGATAAAATGAACTTAGATATGTTTGATCCTCTCTTGGAATACTAGATTGGCATTGATGTGAAGAGCTAACTAACTATAACAAACACGACTTGTGATATCGACACGAATCCGACACGGATTTAGCGGTTTGAGTGTAGTCTTAACGGATTCGGGTAGTTAACGGATTAACTTGACAAATCCGTGAAATAAATGAATCAGTTTTGTGTTTAACCTATAAACTCGTTTCAACCCGTTTAACCAATTAACAGTGGTACTATAATTTTTTTTTTAAAAATTAGGTTTCTCAGCTTCTGTCTCATCTCACACCTCCCATCTCTTAGACTCATTCAAATTTAGTAGTTATTTAATGTGTAGTAAGTTAATGATTTTTTGTATGTACTCGAACTATTCCAACATATTCTCTTATTTAGCGGGTGACACACGGATTGTATCGGGTAACCCGTCTAATAAATGATTCGTGTAAAGATGTGATAGTTGGACTCGTTTATATAAACTAATGGGATATAGATGAAGGATTTTTTGACATAAACCAGTTCCACCCGACACAAAACCGTTCCACTCAACATGATTGTCAGGCCTACTTTATATCTCATATATATATATATATATATATATATATATATATATATATATATACACACACACACACACACATAACTAAATTCAAAACTAAAATAAATTTTAAATTTCTTAATTTGAAATTTTTTTCAATTCTTTCTAAAATTCTTAAATTTTAGAATTTGCTTATATTATAACTATTTTGTTCTCTCTCTCATATATGTATTAGGAGTAACCCGTACTTGAAGGAACAGTGCAATATAAGTGAGAAGTGATGGATTTGGAAAGGCGAATTCAATGTGAATGTTTTTTAAAGGGATTTTAGTAACCATTGGATGAATTTATTTGAGAAGGATGTTGGTGACCGTTAGATGAATCTATTTGAGACTTTCGAATGAACTTATTGAACTATGTCCTGTTAAATACTTTCTAAGATAAGAACTATTTTTCTCTCTATATATATATTTTGTGACAAAAAATTGTAACGCCAATGTCACACTGCTTGTAAAATACATATAAAAAGTTGGGTCACTGTGAACATTATAATGTGACATCAATATCCACTATATACACATAACATATGCAGGTTTTGACACATGAAAAGTACCACGGTGTGACCCAGGGATTGGCACATTATGAGCATCAATGTCACACTGCATATAGACACCATATTCAGGGTTTGCACATGGATGGTATCACATTGTGATTTCAATGTAACACTTCATACACACATCATATAAATATTTAAAAACACGTGGTCAATATCATAGTGTGAATCCAATGCCACAATACAACTATACATCATAAGCATTATTTTTTCATGGTGTGTGCATCAAAAATGTGACTCCAATGTCACACTGCAAAACAAACATCATATATGCTGAGCTTTGCACAAAGTGGACATCACAAATAAATAGAGAAAGAAAATAAAAGAGGGAGAGAGAGAATAGAGAGAGGAGAGTAACGATGGGAGAGAGAATGAGTTTGAGGAATAAAATACAGAGATATTAACAGAAAGAGTCAAATATGTAGAGAGAGTAAGAAATCTTTTTAAAACTAATAAAATCCTTTTAAAATTCAAACGGTTAATTATCCTTTAATTTAGGAAATCACTTGGCCATTAAAATAGAAAAAAAATTAAAAAAATTGTCCCAACAAAATAAGAAACTGAATTCCACAGTTAACTGTCTAACTTAGCTTCCACAAATAAATGAAAATGACTTTTACATGAATGAAATAATTTTTTTAAAAAAAGCCAAAGTGTATCTGTTCACGAAAAAGGACTTATACACAGAAAATTTATATTAAGATGCTTCCTCACAAATAACTAGTGTATAGTGTACCTTTTCACGGGAAATTTTTTTTTGTATACTACATACTAGTTATTTGTGAAGTACCTTAATATAAATCTTGTGTATGTCTTTTTTTTGTAAATGTTTTGTGAACAGATATACTTTTACTTTTTTTAAATATTTTATTTATGTAAAAGTCATTTTCCTTTATTCATGGAAGATAAGTTACCTAGTTAACTGTGGGATTTAGTTTCATATTTTAGTGGTACAATTTCCTTTTTTTTTTATTCTATTTTAGTGGTTAAGTGATTTCCTAAATTAAAGGATAATTGATCGTTTGAATTTTAAAAAGATTCCATTAGTTTTAAAAAGATTTTCTATTCTCTCCCTATAGTTGACTCTCATCATTAATATCGCTCCCTATTTTATCTCTATTTTTCTCTCTCTCCCCCTCTATTTTCTATCTCAAGCTCATTCTCTCTCCCATCATTATTCTCTTCTCCCTATTCTCTCTCCCCCTTTATTTTCTCTCAATATTTTTGCAATGTTATATTTAAATCACATTGTGTGATACCCACCCTGTGCAAAATACTACATATATGATGTTTGTTTTACAGTGTGACATTGGAGTCACATTTTTTATGCCCACACCATGAAAAAACAATACATATAATGTGTAGTTGCATTGTGACATTGGAGTTACACTGTGATACTCACTAGGTGTTTTTGAATCTTTATGTGATTTGTATATGAAGTGTTACATTGGAGTCACAATGTGATACCATTCATGTACAAAACTTGTATATAGTGTCTATATACAGTGTATCATTAATGCCACATTTGTGATGCCCACAGTGTCCCAATCCCTGAGTCACACTCTGGTACTTTTGATATGTCAAAACCTGCATATGTTGTGTGTATACAGTAGACACTGATGTCACATTATAATGTCCACAGTGGCCCTACTCTGCATATGTATTTTACAAGTAGTGTGACATTGACATCACAGTATGTGTCACAATTTTTTTGTCACAACATATATATTGAGAGAGAAAAATAGCCCTTATCTTAGAAAGTATTTAAAATTAAAAATTTTTGATTTTTCGTTATCTTTATTTTGGTCACAAATATATATATATAGGAGAAACAAAGTTGTTCTAAAATAAGAAAATCCTAAAATTTTAGAATTTTAGAAAGAATTGAAAATAATTTCAAATTGACAAATTTAAAATATATTTAAGTTTTGAATTTAGTAATGTGTGTATATATATATATATATAGAGAGAGAGAGAGAGAAAGAAAAAGAGTTCTAATATAAGAAAACTCTAAAATTTAAGAGTTTTAGTTTTCAAATTAATTGGTTTCCTTATTTGATTTTTTCAATAGTGATGTGATGATGGTTAGGGTTACTTTGGTCCTTCTTTCCCAAATGTTTTTAAAATTTGTACTTAAAGTCAAATAAATTTTAAAAAGTGTACCGGCTTTCAAAAAACCCTTAATAAATTGTACTTTAGATCGTTACCGGAAGAATAGATCTGGTAGAAGACAGATCTTGTCTTCCAGTTCCGTCTAGAGAGCGAACATCACAATACAAAACTCTAGCCTTACACGGCGTAAACCAATGTGCCAACTTTGGCAACGACAACAATGAAAAACACCAACATCAACCACAACAGCTATCAACAAAGTCGATGATAATGACAATAACCAAAACCAACGATGACAAAGGCACAATCAATCATCATTCATGCAAATCGATTAACAGTACCTCAATTCAAACAATTAGGCAACCAAGAGTGATGATGATAACTTGATATCAACATCGAATCAATGAACGATTTCTAGCCAACAAAGAGCAAATCAAAGAATTAGCAAACAATAAACAACAATCACACTATCTCTTATCACAACCAACAACCATGACCATTTTTCGCTCATGGTAGGGTACAACCCCTAGATGCTTATAAAATAGCGCGGCCATGAGATCTAGAGTTGTGTTCTCACTATCTACATTGAAGGCTACAGATGGAGACAAATCCAATCTAATGGTGCCTAGTGCCCATCTATCCAGAATCATCACTTCTTTGTCCTTCAGGTCCATCAATTTCTTTGAAAAAGGTTTATACAAATTCTTCTTGTGAAGATTATGCTCCATCTACATATTCCAAAACCAATAGTTTGCACAACTAAATCTTTCAATAGGGAACCTTCTCCCACTTTCTACGACAACCGCTCTCACACAAACCCAAATCTCAAATACTAGTTTGTGCGAATTAAAATCCCTAACCTAGAATCCAATATGCAATAACAAAAGATAAATATGCAAATCGACTCACACACAAAACCTCCCAGGTTACCATGGAAAACTCCGAGATCAAAAGGGAAAAAAAATGAACTTAGGGTCATTCAACAACTAACAATATTGAAGAGGATGATTAGAACTTAGGGGTTTTTTTTATTAAGGCTCCTCAAACATCAAGTTATTGTTGTTAAGCTTCCTAAAACCAAGTGTTTGCTATTAATGTTCCAACTCCACCAGAGACGAGGACCAAGATGATTTTGAATACCTTTCTTTTCAATTTTTGAACCATTTATCCACATAACACATCTAAACAATCATCCAAGAGAGTAAGTGTCCAAGCTTGATGCCTAACTAACGATGGGCTCCAAGCTTAAGGCAGAATATTGAATATCGATAGATTGCCTCTCTAGGCAAGAATCACTGTGGCAACATTTATACTCCAAATCCCATTAAATCTAATATAACAAGGGAGAGTTACAATTGGCATCCAACATGAATATGATAGGGCCAACATGAAATATGAGTAAAGCATTAGTAAAAGGTCATTTATCCTAGGTATGGCCTTGACTTTTTAGCACTTGTCATATTAAGTAACCTAATTACGTCTATTATAAAGAATGGCATCAAAGAAATGTGAAAACCCAACAAATTATAATGGATCCTTCTAGGCAGATTTTGCTCACATATATAGTGAATATTCCTTTTTCTTTTTGCTTTGGGCAAACAATTTTATGTTTATATTCACAAAGTGGTTGGTTACATTACATATAGATGACGGCAAGTGACAAGCCACAGAAAGTTTATCATGTGATAAGGGACATTGCAACTTACAAATGCTTTGAATGCGGGCTTAAGAGCAGTCATTTCATATATACAGCATCCTGAGTAACATTTTAGAGATATTAGAGTGCTTCAGCTTAAAAAATGGGAAGAAATCACAGCTCAATATGGGGTACACCAGGCTTACCCAAAGACCATATGTCAGACTTGGAGCCGTAAGGTACATCAGCAAGAAGCTCAGGGCACATATAACTGGGAGTTCCGACAACCTGAGTGATGAAATAGCAACATCCACCAATAAAACAATTATGCCAAAGCTTAAAAATTGAAACATAAACCTATTATTCAACCACTTACGGAAGAGGCAAGATCATCCGAAGTCAACATCTTGGCAAGTCCAAAATCACCTGTAATATAATCAATTTGTGATAGTTCACAAAAATTAATTATCCTCTCAGGAAAAAGAAGCACAAAAGAATCTCTTACCAAGACGAATGTCTTGATCTTTCATTAAGAAGATATTCGAACACTGCAAGACGCAAGAAATCGTATAATGGTATCAATAAATGCCGGTTCAGAGATTTTGGAAGTTATAACTAATACCTTTATTATGTACAGATATGAAAATGACTAACCTTCACATCGCGATGCAGAATGTGATTCGTGTGTAAGTAGTCAAGCGCCATAAGGAGTTGAACAAGCCACTTACACAGTTTCTATACAGTTCCAGATTCATAATTAAAGGAAAGAAAAACAGGAAAGTAAAGCTGAGTAATGAATACAATCTATTACTGTGCAACCATGGAGAATAGAATGCGCTTCATTGCTAGAGGAGAAGAGAAAAAGCAAACTGTACAAATACAATACAATTTAATAACAACCTCTTCAGGAAAAAGAGCACAGTTGGCTTTCTTTATAGCCTCTGCCCTGAGAAACAGGATGCAGCACAAAAGTATGGTTATCTTACAGATATGGCACAAATGCTAGAAGAGAAAGTACAATCAATTGATAGTAATTCCAACAAGAAAAACAACTTACATATCTCCACCTTCACAATAACCTATGATTATGCATACATAGCAACCCTGCAAGTAAAGGCATTAACACTGTTGATTCTGCTATCCAACAATGCGTACCACATCAAAAAAATTTGAAAGCACAAAATCTACATAAGGAAGTAATAGGTTGGCACAAAATTAAAATCCTAATGTTGGGAGAGGTAAATTTGCAGACTACGCATCCTTTTCAATAAAATATGTCCACTGCTGGCTTGATGATGAACGCACTTGTTGTGCTTTTTCTGGTTGTAAACCATTAACAATAGACAGCTAATACAAATACTACCAAAACCACGAGTTAGAATGTATGTCAAATGCAGTGAAAATTATCCCTATAATAGAGTTAAAAACTCTTATTCTGATAGTTTGTGTTGATTATGCATAAAGACTCAGAATAATTATTTTTTTAAGTTAAGCAAACTGGAATGAAAACATTGCATTCGATCCTGAAGTATAGTATATTGCAGCTAATCAGTGACTAAAAAATTGTTGTTAGTTTATAATTATACACCACACCAAGGTTATATTCAATCTCACAAGCTGCTTCATATTTGGCAGCAAATCGGTCACCACAACAGCACAACAGATAGGAACCAAATCAAAAAGTTCTTCCAGTATTGTTTGATATATACACTGCTTCAAGTTTCAGTTTGTATCAGTTCTTTCATGGTCACTGTGAATGCACATTGTTTTCAAACATCACTGGTTAGTTAATATGATCTGCACCAAAGACATTCAGAAAACTAGAGTTTTTATATTTTTACTGTGTGTGTGTGTCTGCAGTGTGTGTGTATGCAAGGGGTGAAAAATTGTGCTTGATATTTCATGTAGTCGACCCCAAACAATTTGAACAATGTATTTTAGAGTTGAGTTTAGGAAAGTAAAGCACATTGACACAACTAGAGTAAGTTTGCATTACTCAAACAAAAAACCATTAAAAGCATGAATCCATGCAGCCATGCAGGATATCAACCAAAAAAAGAAGAAAGAAGAGATCACTGACAGAAGAACAACAATGACAATGATAGATGTGGCCAACCTTTTCTACCCAGGAGTCTTTATACTCCACAATAAATGGATTTTTCGCATTTTGGAGATAAGTTCCATCTACAAAAGA